ACCTTAATACTTTTGAGGCATATATAATCACGTACAAAAGTCTTTATTGCTCATCTCTTTATATTTTAAGAGGAAAATTAGAAATGGATGAAATGCAAAAGTAGAGTATGAGGCAAAAACAGAGTTTGTACAGTTCTAATGAGGTTGAACGTCAATATTCGGTATGACCACCTGATCTCTCTGAGCCTAGGTTTCTTGTAATTTTGTTTAATCAGTCTTCAGGAATAGTTCTCCAGGCTTCTTTAAGGACATTCAAAGCTTTTCTTTGGATGTTGGCTGCCTTTTGTTCTGTTATCTATCGACATGATCCCACACTGCTTCAATAATGTTGACCTCTGGGCTCTGGGGAGGCCAATCCATGACTGATAGTGTTTCATTGTGTGTCTCTGGGTTTGTTTGTTTTTTGTCCATCCAGGTACGCTTGTACTGCATTGGCAGTGTGTTCTGGATCATTGTCATGCTAAAAAATGAAGCTGCTGACAAGTTTTTTCCAGATGGTATTGCATTGTAGATCAAAATCTGATTGTACTTTTCTGCATTCATAATTCCATCAGTTTTGACAAGATCTTCAACATCATTGGCTGAAACTGACCCCAGACTGGGGCAGAGCCTCTGCTGTATTTTACAGATAGAAAGTTTTGGCCGGTTGCTCTTTGGGAGTCACGTTGCTGGTGCAAAAATGCTATAAGCTGTGTTATCTTTGGCATTTTTTAGAATCAACTGTAGGCACAGCCCTGGAGTTAGGTTTGTGAATGAATCATAGGTCTGTGTTTAGTGAAAAAGCAGCCAGTGTCTAAAGAAAAGCTTTGAAAGACTTTCTGATAACCTTTACAAGAAAGTCTGTCTCCTTGGAAGCAAAATTTATAGAAATGAGTGGTCTCTCAAAACTTGCATGGTACTTTATTATTCAAACACAGTCTTTTTTTTTCTTTTTCTTTTTTACACACTTTGACTCCTTTATTATTGTTAGGAAACAAACTAAAAACACGGCATACTCTTTAGTGATTGCCATTATTCAGTGTGTCTTTGCTGAGCTTTTTCTTTCTGAGTCTCGCAGTATTGTTAGGTAAATACGCCTTTATAGGATTATTTCTCCTTAACTCCTATCATTATCCTATCATATAACTCTAATTAAGAGTTATATGATCGATACAAGTGGGTAGTTATCTGCTGCCCTCCAGTGGTTACATGGAAACTAGAAGTCCTTTTCCTAATTTTGCAACAGCTGAAAGTTTAAAACGAAGATATAAGGACCACAAAAGCAGCAGTAGCATTTTTAGGGCCAACCCCCTCCCCGACTCGGTTTATTTTATATGCATTGCATCGTTTCAGTATATTTTCATCGATTACTGAAGCGCTATGTCGGACTTGTTTACACCGGAAGTCACGTGAGCACATCTACCGGTGACTCCATGGCAACCGCTTGAGTTAACATAGATAATGGCAGAGATCGTCTGTACTAAGAAATAATTTTTGCAGAAAATGTGTGAAGGTACGGCGTGATCTGTTTGACCCTGTGGTGAAACAGAAAAACAAAGGTTCACGTGTTCACTGTGTCTTTGTAGAGTTTGAGGCCGAACAGCACAGCGGTCCCAGCCCTGCGTGGACAGAGGCCAGCTCTGTGAGCACCCAGCTCTCCCGGCACAGCGTAAGTACACACAGACGACGTGATGTGTGCAAATACAAATCTGTGGGATTTAATCTGAATCCTGTGTCAGCCTCGTTTGAGATAACTGAGCAGCTGGGTCTTCAAATGCATTTTCCGTCATGCACAAAACACTAACACGTATGTGATGTGTAAATTACAGCTGCCCTGAGACAAAATGTGAACCTAACTAATTTCTAAATATTACTTGAAGTGCAAAATAGCTCCTCCATTTTTATATGGCTTATAACAGAAAAATATAATATAAATTATTTTTTAAACTATTTTTAAAGTCTAAATTGTTCATGAAAGTTGAATGATTGCTTTGGTTAGGTACTTATGGATGATGATCTTCTCAGAGACTTTGAGCCCGATGTTTGCTGTGCTCTCCCTGGATACTCTGCATTAAAAGGACCTCATCCTTCAC